GATTCTTACTATGATTACTTGGGGAGAATTAGAGAGGATTTAGATATTGAGCACAGTGACGTGATCCTTGTATCCTAGTTATTCTCTTGTGATTGATGCTAGGGTTTTGGGCAAGAGATTGAGATTTGTATATTTATTATTATTATAATGGATTATCTCTAGTTTGTCCTGTGATTTTTACCCTTCACATTGAAGGGGCTTTCTACGTATATTTTGGTGTTCTATTTGATTGTGATTCCATTTAATTCTATTGTGTATTATCGTCTTCTAGTACTTGTTCATATATAAAGGTTATTCCACATTATATTCTATCAACTGGTATCAGAGCAATTGATGACCCTCTACTCGTCGCAACACCTACCATATATGTATGACCCTCTAGGCTTACTATCGAGCCAGTCGTGAGTCATACCTATCAGAACTTCTTCTAGCTTAGTGAATTATTATCTCTATAATAATTCACTCAACTCATCAACTACGGACATACTAGACCACTATGTCGTAGTCCCTATACGAATCAGGAGAATCCAACCCATTGGACATGTCTATCCTCAGTTATCGTATATCTATAGTCCCTCATCCATCTAATATCTTAGAGATCGTATATCGGGCATGGTGCTGTCAGGGCCATACAATTTTTACTCGAGTCTCGCTTTAATCAGATTCTCTTGGAGAACTCTTTCTCTCTCAATTCGAATGACCCTGATCAGAGATTTGTTTGAGAAAGAATACATGAGATATTCATCTCATGATGCCGAGAGTGGATGATCCTCTATCGATACTCAATAGCTCTCGTAAGGTTAGTTACCACTCCCGATGATCGACTGTGATATATCTGAAACTTCCAGACCTATAAGTCTGGTATTAAAGAGTGAAATACTTATGCGGGACATCCTTGGTATCTCAAGTCTAAGGACCAGATACACCACTGGGACGACGGAATCACTGTCTGACAGTAAGACATCATCAACCATCTAGCATTTCGTGAGCGGACCAATAAGTGAACTCATTCTCCAATGAACACATGCACTGTATCTCTAGTGTCCCTACACGAGTAGCTATGAGATCAGCCACCTCCATCATATGGATGGATATACAATACACCAATATGTCCAGTTATCTCGATGTCCCTCTCGAGTAAATTATGGTCGGGATTATTTAGGGTATGTTTTTAAAAGTGAATTGGTCTCATTATCGTGATCTCGTCACGATCTGATTCCCATTGTACAAATCTATGAATATCACTATGCAAAAAGAATGTCATAATAATAATATGCAAAAAGAATTCGTATCATGTCACACGTGTCATCACTCGTGTGATCGGCTTGCAAGACACCTATGACTAGCACTCAGCTCATTTCATGACCAACTCTCCCCCATGAGAGCAAGAGATTGATGACTCCATGGAAGTCCCACCTTTGTGCTACTACGATGCTTATATCCCTATGGCCCTGCTATCCGTCATCTTGTGTATGCATCCCTTTCTTCACGATCAATAGATCCGCCTCTATGGTACTATATGACACTCCTTCAAATCCACCTCCATTCTAATAGATGCTTGATTTTTGGATAGCTGAGTCTCTTTAAACTCATCGTTGCTTTCTCACTCCTTTCGACCACTTGTTTTAACACCTTTGTGTTATTTGAGTAGTTCTCTTTGGTCGATGGAAAGTTATACAACAACTCTCATACATGGCCTCCACCATCATGTTGTAGGGTTCATGCTAATTCTATTTTTTTTTCCTTGGTAGCAACGTTCACATAATCAATCTTGTCATTTGATTTGTTGGGCCCTCTTAAGCGAATATGAGTTCTGGAGTAATCCAACTCTCTAATCGCTCTGATCATACCTCTGTATGATCAAGCCCCACCCATGAGACTCACTAGTATTTGCACATAAAATTCTCTCTCGATAATACATAGCTTCTCATATATTGATGATCAAGGTTTTCATCTGATGCAAAATTCAATGCACACATGAAAGACCTGCATCTATAGTACCATGATATTTATTCTTTGAATTCATAGCCCTTCCCGTCGTCATGTTGTTCACCAAAGTGGAGCTCTCAGTAGCTCATGATCATACCTCCATATAATCAAATCCCTCGTGGGACACCTCCCACGTGTGTTGCATTGTCTTAAACTGTTCCACCATGATCCGCTACACCATGTCATTTCCTATTAACATCTTCATTGCATTTCTGATCTTTGTGGGATATACTCGGATTGCAATCTCTCTATGTGTGGCATTTGCTAGTACATCGCAAGGCTTCTGCCACCTTTGATTGTGTTCGCTTCTTTGGTAATCAACCTTCATCCACCCACTCTCAAGTCACACCCGGACGAAGAATAGCTCTAGGACAGTCTGTCGTCTAGCAGCTCCTGAAGTCTACTAACTTTGCTGAAAATGGTGTATCATTTTTGGGATCTTAGGCCTCTACCCCCCCAGCATAATCTTCGTCGCACGCCGCTTCCTTTGCGACAACTTGAATGGTAACACTATAGCATATTCTTCAAGAGTACCTGCCTTTGCATCCTCTTGTCTTGTGTCAAGGCTTTCTGACCCCAACTTTGCCTCCGCAAGTTGAGTCGCCTTAGTTCCTCTAATAAATACTTCGCCGAGATAAGGTGCATGTGCCTCAAAGCTCTCTTTGAATTTAACACTTAGTAGGTTGAGTCTGCTCCATCAGAATGAGGGACCCATGGAATAACATGATTCTACTCTTGTATTTGTAAGAGTTCATATCTTTAACCTCTATCTAAGGAAAACTTCATGCCTTCGCTCTATATTTCGTCTTCTTTGTCGAATCCCTTCATGTGGCTTGAGCAATTCACCAAGTTCTACCTAGGTTGTTTCATACCTCGATTTGCATTGAGTTGATAATGGCCCTCATGCCCACCATTTCACGGGTCAATCCTCTGTTGAGTCTGATCTCCACGTCGACTTTAAGTATGCTTTCGTTTGGTATTGCCTTGGGTCTCTCCCCCACTTGATCTCGAAATACGTTCACCAATGCATTTCCTCATGTGAGATTATGTGATGACTCTTCGCCACTGGCTCGGTCCATTGAGCTTTATGAAGTTTTTGTCTTGAGGTACACCTCATCCTCAACATGTGTAGTATGTTGCATATGATTCTCTCTTTAGAGAATCGAGACTTATCTCTCCTAGATAAGTAACTTTTTTCTTCACATCCTTCCCTCTAGAAGTTTCAAAGGCCATAATCCCTTTGGATTACTTTGCATTGCTGAATAAATTATGCACTATTTTGCCCCCACGAATGCACTTGCTAATTGGTGACACTTCACCAATATAACCCCTATTGCTAAACTTGCTACCCACTTCAGCCTTCTATTGATGTATCCTTCCCATGCCAAAGAAAAAGTTTCAATGCTCCATGATGCTGAGTTTCGGTCGCCTTGAGATGGCTAGAAATAATCCATCGTCTACATATAAGCTTTTGCATGAGTACCAAATTCTTCGAGTTAGCAAATCCCCTTACTTTGTGAGCTTTGCCTAACTCTTTCGATTGCTGGGCAACCCATCTCGCCTTACACAATCACATCATTTACCAAGCACCCCACTTGCATTGAGCATCGTTAAGTTTGGTTTCTAACGTCGAGCCATAGCTCGAACTCAACCATCATAACTTTTATACACTACACATTCTTTACAGCTCGCTTGTCCTCATGGTACCTCTTGCTATAAGGGTTGGCCATTCATTGGAATGTCAATCTCAAATGCTCGCTCCTTTGAGAAACTCTTTTCCCTACATCTCAACGCCCATTTCCCCCAAACGATCCTCCGTGCTGACTACCCTTAACACAGCCTCGCTATATCTTCTACATTTACATACCAAGTGTTTCTAAGTATGCTTGTCTTGCTTTGATACCATATGTCATAAATTTAACTGATTTTGCTTAAGTTATATGACACCCATATATGCCCGTCTGCAAACAGTCAACCTCTTTGAAACCTCTTATGGTCCCTGAAGGACCTATAAAAGATAGATGAGTTAGAAAAAGAATTTAACTTAGGATCCATAAATAGCTATTTTCAACGAACACTTAAAAAATAATGCAAATTATGAACATAGAGTTTGTAATCTCTTAATATTTACATGACAAAGGGTCTGATGGTTCACTATGGCCAAAAGTCCCCACAAGTGCTCGCATGACATTATTGCGAAGCAAGATAGAGAATCAACTCTAGACACTACCTCAAAGGCTCATCCAGTCATGTGCCACCCGGGTAGCTCGTGGGTGTTGTACTTGTTGATACTTCGCACCACTCTGCAGAGCTAGAAAACCCCTAAAATGACTATGTGATAACCTATTACTATGTAATTTTGCCTTTGCATGGTGACTGCATGCAACTTACGTTTACCAGCTTAAAACGACCACAAAAGCCAATTAAAATAGGATTATCAAACTTATTGTATGCTTTTTTACATGTTATGCAAAATATGAATAAAAATCGAAAGACACAGACATACACGAGCATTATATAGGATGTCCTGTTTACGGCTTTATCCGTGATAGTGCGATCATCCAAAACTTACGAAGTCTATCTTTTATATTACATTTACCCATAAAGTATTTGCATTAGTATCGTATCGTGGATCCCCGGTTTATATTTTTAATTATTAAAAATATTAATTTTATGTCATTTACTAAAATTGTTTTTCTTTTGCAGAATTGGAAGTCACTTTTGGCTATATATACAGTGCTTTAACCACAGAAGTATCTCGCTGAAGACCACTCTCCCTCTTCTGTGAAAGTGAAAGTTACCGTATGGATTCAGGTTCAAATCTTGTGAAACATGCCTACCCAAATTTGGCATTGTGATGTCTATTCGTATTGTCTACAAGTGAAATAAGATTTGATGAACCCAATAATGAGACGCCAACTTGGGGACGTACTCAACTTGGAGTAGAATCGCATCCACAAAGTAAAGTCTCTCTCTCTCATTGCTTCTGTTTTTATTTCATGTTCTCATTCTTTTCCAAAAAGAAAAAAATCTTCTATTTCTTTTGTAGTTGATTACACTGCAATCCTGCCTCAATTATCCTAAAATTACACATCTCTCATCACATTTATAAAAAGAGAATTTGTGTTAGACAAACATTTCTGCTTTCTTGTTTTCAACACAAAAAAGAAAGCAAACAAAGGCAAATTAAAAGAAAAGGGAAGGTAAATGAAAGCAATTCGGAAAGAGAAGGCAGTCTTTTGTGGAAACATGTGAACCCAACAACTCCACTGCAGGCAATGGTGATAGACCAAACTCCAGTCTACTAGTAGTTCTTCTGCTTCCAATAAAGTCTGATGGCACAAACTTGGTTTCCATCAGCAATTGTAAGCCTTACATAAATACATACATATGCACATATCAGCAAAGAATTAAAGCTACTTCTCGACGAAAGGTTAAGAGGCATAACAACAAACACCTGCTTCGCGCCACAGAGAGGGGAAGTGTTTCAGGGCGAGGCCGTGCTGACGCTGCCGCACTCGGCCGCCTTGGCGTCGGGGGCGCGAACGGTATCGGAGGAGTTCGCGCCGCACCGCGATGGCGGGGCGGGGACCACCAGGACCCGGCGGCAGGAGGGGCAGGACGAGTGAGACAGGAGCCACGTGTCGACGCACTCGGCGTGGAACCCGTGCCCGCACTGCGGGAGGACGCGGACCTCATCGCCGTCGGCGAACTCGGCGAGACAGATGGCGCAGTCGACCAGCTGGACGCAGCCGGCCACGGCTGCGGACGAGTCGAAGGAAAGCGTCGAAAGCGCTCGGAGAACCTTCTTCTTCAGCCCCTTACTGGGCGGCGAGGACGGAGCGGGTGCAGCGGCGGAGGCGGAGGAGCAGGAGCAGCGGGCGATGAGGGCGAGGCCTACGACGCAGATGACGGCGCAGAGGAGCGCGGCGAGGATGACGACGACGTCGGAGTCAACGGTAGGTAGGGGTGCAGGCGATTCCGCCTGCCGCAGCGGTTCGGAGGACTGGAGAAACTTCGCCAGAGAACGCATTGCGTGTGAAAGAGTTGTTGAGTTAGAGCGAGTGTGAGCGCTTTATATATATATACAGAGAGAGAGAGAGAGAGAGATTGAAGTACATATTGCCTTGAGATTGGTGTTTAGATAATTAATTATGCATATTCAATAATTATTACTGTGGTGGATCTTTACGGCTCTACAGAGCTATAAATGTTTCCTGGTCCCTATATATATATATATATATATATATGATTCACGATCCAAAACTATATTTTCATCTATCGTGTAAGATCTTGAATAAATTGATGGAGTGACAAGAAGGCATTGAAGATGCATCCATCTCCTCCAACATCGGAGTTTCGAAATCTGATCATCTTCATAAAGTGAGCTACATCGGCTCTACTATGTGACATAGAGATACGATCAACTTCGACACTAATACGAAGCGCACAAGCGACAGCCACGCTTAACAGTGAGCAGGTAGCCTAAACCTTGGCCAAGCTGGACGCTGAGAGAAGTGGGAGTGTTCATTGTTTCAGTAGAGACATGCATAATAGGAGAATCCTATCCTTTGATTGGGTGGGCCCTCTCGAGCATTAAAAGAAAGGAAAACAAGGGGCAGAAGCTGGGATTGGGCTCCCAGGATTCCAACCCACTACAGCCGCAAAGGCTAACCAAAACTTGCCTACGACGGAGGAGCACACAAGGTGATGGTGATGATGATGGTGGTGTGGCCGAAGCCAACAAATATCCCGCTCCCATGCCATGCGTGCTACAGCTTCGCCACATTCTTCTTCTTTTCATCCCACTCTCCTTTAATGCACAGTAGAGCTGAAACAAAGACATGCAGTTATCGATCGCTAAGCGAAAAGGATTAGCTCAAGAGATGACCACTGGTGGCCAGGAGAAACCTGATCAAGAGGGCAAAGTGTAGGGTGAAAGAAGACTGTGGTATCAAAACAATACTCATAAAAATATCAATAATAAATTATAATAAAAAATAGTAAACGCAAAGTTCAGACACCCTTTTTGAATTCTTTAAATAAAAACTTTTTCTTGAGTTAATCCAATCTGAAACTCAAAAGTCTGTTGTGTATCTACTAGAATAATTTTAATTTTTGTGTATCTATCACATGTGCAGTGTTTCGAAGAATATAAAGGAAGGAAAAAAAGAGCAGTCACACTTTTGCAAGTGTAACGAATAGATGTCAGTTTTGGCTTACTTTATGAACGGATAGAGGAAGTGGAAGTGGTGGTGGTGTTGGCGGCACAGTTCTCCTGGTCCGTGTGGAGCAACTCAGTTCCCCTTTCAGATTCGCTCTCCATCTTTTTGTCAACTGGAAATAAAAGACGAGTTCTTTGCATTCCCATCTGCTTTCTTCTCGCTATTCTGTCCAAATTGGATGAAAGATGTCAGTAAAGTAGATAGCATCGACAACAGACAGATGAAGCAAAGAAATGACATGTTTGTGTGATCATACTGAACAATTTGACTTCACCGGAATATTGTCGAATGTAAACGAAGAGACTATACTTCACACTGCTTTAGATCTTCGAACAGCAACCGAGGTAAAACCATTGGGCCCAAAAAACATTACCGTCTACTGTTCTTGTACTCTTAGAAACATTGAAACATGGCTAAATATATATCCAAGACTGGGGAACAACCCAATATAAAACAAATGGATCAATGCACAGAAGTTCAATGTTTTCACACATTTTCAAACTTCTTATATAACAATTATCGTGATAACCCTTCACACTGTGTATTTGCCGTGCCATGAGCAAGAGCAAGGCGACCGATAAAGAATGACTATGTGGTATCTCTTCCTGCTCCCAAATGATGCAGCTGACCCTGGAACTCCAGTCATTTTGGAGGTCACCACCAAATCATCTCCTCCAGGTCCATCAGAAAACGAGCATGGTCAAAGGTGCAGGTATATTCGTTTTCAACTCCGCCAGGCAGAAGACAACTCCAAATCAGTGTTCTCTTCCCACCATGTGGCGTTCTGCATTGACAAGTGCAGAACAGATCATACAAAGCAAAAAAGACTATATAAATGCTCAACATCTAGATAACATAGTGACCGGATGCCCGGCCGAGATATCTTATGATTAACTTATGTGGAGATGGAAGATCACATATTGATGATAATTAAGACTCGAACATCCATCAAAACCATCTTGCACTCAGATTGCTGTCAGCCTTTGCTCCCCAATTTATGTCCGGGAGCATCAGAGGCATAAATCAGCAACAGATCAATGCACACACAGTCCCACCACTATAGCCTCCCATATGAGGAGAGCTAAAAGTTTGCAAAAGAAAATCACAACGTCACAATTATTATCTAGATTTTGCTTGTCTCGCTGGAATCATAATAATATATTTGTAATTGATCATCAACTTATAAAACTTCTTCCCCTCATAGTGCACTATGTTCTTTCACATGAGATGCAGAATACAGGGAAAATTACAAGATTTTATCACGTGTATAGGAATTCTGGAATATGAGGTGAATAAGAGAAAATGAGCTGTGATTTTTTGTTCACATGGTGAGCACCAAAAGTAAGTTGAGGGGTATCTACAGATTCTATACCATATTAAAATGCCTCAATTAGCCTATGAGCTGCAGGCAAACCTACTTGGCTGATCGCCAATGTCTGAACTTCAGAATATGAAGATGTGTGATTCAATGGATATAACAATTAAAAAAAAATTAATAATTAGATAGTTTGCTTGAAGTTAAGCATGTCAAGCTATATCCAGAGCATCATACTGTAGAGTGAAATGATTATGCAATGTTTTTGTTAGTTGTATCTGGCTCAGAGGTGAGTGCACTACTTTGTGGATTGCCTTTGTTATAGCTAAGAAAAAATTATTGCTAAGAACCTTGTAACCCCTTCTCAGGAATTCCAGCGAGCTCCCTTGTTCCTCTTGCAGGCCAAGAACCCGTAGAAGTTCTTCTTTAGCCTAAACATTAAAAATGAAACACAGTAAAAAACATAAAAAAATTCAATGGTTTATAAGAATCATGGAAAAAAACCTCTCCCAGAGTAAAACGAGTAGCACTTTCTGCAACACAAGCATAGGAGCCGTCAGCCTGTTTAAGCATCACTTGCCAAGGTCCTGCACAAATAGCAACATAATGGAGCCAACAAGCTGATGTAGCTTCTTGCAGAAAACAACAATACTAATGGTTGTTGATTTATCAATATTATGGTTTTCTTTCTTTCCCTGCTCCTACAAACCTATTATTATGAAGAAAATAGAAATCAGAAAACAAAATTTTGTGACTGGATATATATATATATATATATATATATATATATATATATATATATATATATATGTGTGTGTGTGTGTGTGTGTGTGTGTGTGTGTGTCTTATGTTAGATTTCCAGCTTTATAATAATTAAGAAAATGCTGATCCTTCTGAAGCCAAAATAACATAGGCCAAAACTATGCTACTTCTCATGTTATACTCCCCTCAATTACTTCAAGTATCCCCCATAACTGCTCATGGAGGCCAAATCATTGTCAAGTTATGTAATAATAAAAGTCAAAGAGTGACATTTCTGGTCTATTTTACTAAAAATTAACATTTCAAATTGTCGACTGAATCTAACAGGGGAAGGATATATAGATATGACTTGTCATCAGGTGATAACAGAAATTTTATTAGCAACACATTTTTAACAATTGCAGAAACTATCCATATAGCATAATTACTGGCAGCATCACCGTTTGAGGTTGCCACCAATAATATCTTGAGGCACAACTGCATTAGCTTTTGAGGCCCTTAGTGGTTTATTGAAAGTCACAAATCGGAATTAGTTTGAGCCAACACTTGTCACAACCCTTCTTGATGGGATAAGTGGCTTGCTAAATTTATTGAGCTTCAACAACTGACTAAAATGTTTAAACTCAATTTAATAGTGTACACCCATCAAATCCTATAAGTTAATCTTAGTCTTAGTCTACTTCTGATGTAAGACTCAATGCATTACAATCTCCCTCGTTTATGGGCTTGATGTCCCCATCAAGGCCCAACAGAAGGCCCAACAGAGCCCATAATTTGACCCTAGCATGGTTCATGTGAGACATAACCCAGATATGACTCCATGTCGTGGCATACTCTCTGGCTCCGTTTGTCCACAATAGTCCTCTCCTACTCGAGCCTCTCACCATATCCCCGTTGACTCTGATATCAATTGTCACGATTTGACCTAATGGGATAACAGACTTATTAACTTTATTGAGCTTGAACCATTGGCTCAAAACGCTTAAGCCCAAGTTATAAGTAGTACACCCATCAGACCAATCAATCTTAGTCTTTAGTCCACTTTCGATGTGAACTAAATCGAGGGCATTACAATATACTTGCCTATGGAGTCGATTGCTGAGACAACTTAGCCTAGTATATTTAAGCCCATATAAAGTCTAATTTAGTTAGATTAAACAGCTAGTTGTTTGAGGGAGAACCTTAGTGTCACATTAAGTTTGCTAATTTTATGGTCTTGGTGAGCTGAGTTCGAGTTGTTAAACCCTTTTCCCTACTCGTGTAAGGTCATATAGATTGATCCTCCGCAAACCCTACAATTGCAGGCCTCATGCATTATGCTGCATTTTTAAACAGTTCGATGTGTAAAATAACCAATCTATTTGCTGTTATTAACTGCCTGACAACCAGAAACAAACCTTCTTTCTTGAACTTTTAGTATATCTCTTTTCTGTGGAGTTTTGATTGGCTTGTAACTAAATGTGAAATGAGACATTGACTCTGGATCCCGCATTTATTTATTAAGTTCACAAGAAAGTGGGTCATTACTTATTTGTAATAGAGGTGTCCCTGGATCTTTTGATGCCTTGTATGTGGTGAGTTTTACTAAAAAGAAAATCCTTGTCCTTTTCTTTCTCTTTCCCAATGACCTCAATTTCCTCTCCCAGCCTTGTACCTCCCTTTCTCCGCCTTACTATTGTTTCCTGATCCCTCATTCCTTTGTACCTCCCTTCCTCCCACCTAACTGCGGAAAAGATCTGGTGTTGCTAGCCTTCTCTTTTATCAGGC